AGCGAGGTCCGCTTCAAGCTGGACCTGGTGCTTCTTGTTGGATTCATAGTCTACTGCAGCAGTCATGAGACTCGACACCATGCGGTTGAGGTCTCGAATGAACTGCTCGCACATTTCGTCGTGTGGACGATGGGGGTTGGTGCCAAAGATGAGGTACCCAGAGAGACGTCCACCGCACATGGTGGGCATGACGACGATCTTCTGGGACGGCGCGCCCCAACCTTTCCAGTCGACAGATGAGAAACGGTCGTCGTAATCGATAATAGTTAGGTCTGTGCCAGCTCGTCGCATGTCCGGTATGAGTCCTTCTTCACTGTCGATGGTAGCCGTGTTCACCAGAAGAGGATGACCCTCGGGTATGCCTATATGACCATGCAGCCTCAGCGAGTTGGAAACTGCTGTTTCGTCCATCCTGTATAACATAACCATGGGCACATCTTGCGTATTCGTCTCCAGTGTGTTGAGGATGTGCGAGCAGACACTGTCGATAGAGCGTGGAGGCACCGAGGCGAGCTTGTTCAAGCATTTTGTGCGGCGCTCGGTGAGTTTCTCCGTGGTTACTTCGTAACTGGGGAGCACATCAGCTCTGCATCCAAAACGCTACCTGCGCGTCAACAGCACTACTGTCATGACAGGAGCGCATCTGGTGCGACCAGAAAAAAACTCACACATGATTGATGTAGCCTTCTACTACGCCAGGTATGCCTACGGGGGTAAAGCTACCGGTAAAGAAAGTTTCCTCGCGGTAGCCCTTGCGCTCGACGAAGGTCGAATGAGCCGAACTATAGTCGACACCCATGCCGGTGCTCTTTGCCTGTTTGAAATAGGCGCCAACGGAGGGCCACAGCTCTGGATAGCCATCCTGAAAGAGGGATCCCATAAGGGCAGGGTGGACACCAGCGGCAAGAGGGGCATATTTGTCGTTGTAGATGGCTGTCATGTGGGAAATATCTCCCCACCAGAGACATGCGGCGCGCGAGTCTGTGAGGACATAACTGGCAAAGAGGCGCAGCGTGGGGCTCCAAGTATCAAGAGAGCCGAGGTGAGTGCGCGACCAGTCGGTGTTGCGGAAGAAGCGAATATGAGGAGTTTGTGGCAGGGCAGCAGTCCAGTCGCATTGTTCGTCGGTCGGGGTGATGGTCAGGGTCGCAATGTGAGGAGAGTCGATGCCTCCGTCTTCCGGGGGTGGGGTCAGCATCTGCACAAGACAGGAGCATATGCGAAGATGGCAAGGCACACAAGGGGCTGCAGCATCCTCATAGGAAGCAGAGGGCTGAGGAAGACAAGTCTGGGACCCGTTGATGTTGCAACCATCTGATGGACTAGTCCTAAGACCCGCCGGTGTTTCTCTCGGGCACCAGTAGCAGTCAGTTCCATGCATGCATGCCGTCTGCCAGGTGGGGACGGGATACGATCGAGGATGGCCTTGCAGCACACCCATGCCTGCCAAGCCCCTTCCGATCGGCCTCGTTCCGAACACCGTCGTTCCGATGCAACCTTGCCGCACTGCCGTGCCTGTAAGTAAGTAACATGTACCTGTACTTGTACACGTACCATGTCTCTGCGCGTGGTCCTGTACATGTGCATACACGCATCATTACGTACCATGTACACTACTACCAAGTACAACCAACCACCCGCATGACGCTGTCAACCACAACACGAGTCCCATCACGAAATCCATCGTCCGTCGTCCGTCGTCCTTATCATACTCCCCCCAAGCACACAAAGGCCCGAGTCGCGTCTTGCACATCTCTTGCATGCGCGTGGGCGTCTTCCTCCTGCACCGGCCCTCCATGGCCCTAAGCGATTGGTCGCCTGCCCTTCATCGACCGATCCTCACCAGGTTGAGCGTACGAGGCAGGGGCACCGTCGTCGCTCGACCACGTCTTTGGGCGGCTCTCGCCTTTTCTCGCAGCCTCACCGGACCCAATGACCTGATCGTCCTCGGCATCTCGCGTGTACACTGCACGCTGACACGGCCCCGCTGACAACTACACAATCGTACCACATCTGCTGCTCTTGCACAATCGCTGCCACTCATCCATCTATTGCCAAACTATGTCTCTATCTGCCAACTCAGACGTCATCTTCAACACCAATCAGGCATTTCTAGTCCGGCCTTAGTGTGTGCATTTCCTTTTTACCCCTCGCCTTAGCCTTTCCGCTGATTGTCAGAAACCGCCCTCCGATCCCGAATCGTGAGACCACTAGGATATAGCTCTGCAAAGCTTTGGTTCGAATCCTGCCCACTGTCTGCCGCAGCCCGGAAACAATAAGGCCGCCCCTCGCGATACACAAGACGATACTTGGTCTCGTCAACCTTGCACCGCTGCACAGTGCGCATCGACCCATCCTCCTCAATGACCAGTGTCGAGTGCCATGGCGTCGCCCCGAGTGCACCTTTTTCCTGTTGCGGAATAACAGCCATGGACAGCTTGTCCTTTCCACCAGAATCGTGAATAGACAGGCGCACATACTGCGTAGGCACAGCTGCCATTGCGGCAGAGAAGGCCTTCCACCGACCCATCATCTCTTTTGCTGTATTTGCAATATTCGCGGCCTGGTCCTCTGGGGAGAGAGCAAGATGTCTCTCGTTCAATGCCAGGTCCTGCTTCAGAAATTCAAGATACTTGGTGTGCGTCATCTGCATGTCGCTAGTGCTAGTATTTGCCATATCTGCCTCGAACTTGGGATCGCCGTACTGTCGCTTGAGTTCTTTGCGGATATTGGACGCGTTCTCGAGATAGTATTCTTTGGATTGGAAATCTCCTGAATACTTGAGTATGTCCCACAGTCTTAAGAAGCTGATGTTGTTGAGGTTGTTGTCGGCTGCTATCTGTCGAACGCTTTGCCCAAAATTCCATACCGTCTCGTCACTCACGCCGAGAAGGTCTATTGCCATTAGTCAAGGACATACATATGTGGGGGAAAACGCGGGGTAACATACCGTTGTATACAAGACCATCAGAGGTGATATGGCATTCGGCGCCAAACTCATACACTGCCTTGATCTTCTCGCAAAGCCCATCCAGATGCTTCAGCGCAAGCTCCTCGCCTAGATCCGGCAAAACGCCCAAAACCTTATCCTTTGTGTTTGGAGACTTGAACGGAAACCCAGGAAGTAGCATGAGCACGGGCTCTTTGCGCTCAACCTGCCCTTTAACGATCGGCAGGAACGTCTCGAACCCATCCCATTTGCCAGTCCGCTCGTAGTTCAAACCATACTGTTCGATGATCTTGAGTATCTCCTCGGCTTTCGCGTCGACGCTACTTTGCGTGATTGCAGAAGACATGGTTCGTATTAGCTTCTTGGAGAAGCCGATATGCAGCTGAACCGTGGGTTCAACAAGTACTTATGTTGCCCTGAAATTCAGCTTCTCTTTGGGGGCTGTACTTCCAAGAAGAGGCGCTGCTGAGGCACAGCTGTAAGCACGCACGAACCTATAGCCGGCTTGCAGACCGCATCGCACAATCCTTGCACCTCCAACAACATTATCTCATTTCTTCAAAATTCATTGCAGACAGATTACCGAATGTCTATGTCTTTCGATGATTGGCCTTAACTCACATGTTAAACGACAGTTATTGTTCAGAAAAAAAAGCAAATTCACCCCCCAGCGCAAAGCAAACAAAGTTCCCCGCTGTGGCTGACCCTAGGTATCCAGCCATCCCTCCCTGTGGATGCATTCAACTACCCACACCCCCATCGCCCGATTGCTGGGACGCAGGGCAAGTCTATTTTTGAGGCTTGCTCAGCCTCGTGGATACTGTTTGGTCGACCCCTTCAGCCGCAGTGGGTCCTCGATCCCAAATACCGTTAGCACACAAGTCTAGACAATGTCCCGCGCCCATGGTAGCCAAAACATTACTTTTGATCGTGATGTTTTTTGTGCCCAATTGCCATTTGGGGCACTTGGATTGCGACTGGGAAGCTTGCTTGCTGGCAGTTTGCAGCACCGCGTTTGCGAATTGAGACCTGATTGTGAGATTCTTCTTTGTTAGGGTGTCTCACCTGAACGGGTATAGTGACTTGGCGTTCACATGGTATTTGTAGCTGCCTTCAGAGTCCACTATGCGTTTCAATCTTGTATAACATACCTGCGCTGACTACTACCATAACCACATTGTATAAAGGACTCTTGGAGTTCTTCGAGCTGCTATATAGAGGATATATCAAGACGAAGTATGCAGACGTACCCATCGCGCACCTTATTATAATATTGTTTCACTATCAAATTACGACTTACCCATCATCAAACATTTTAGTCGCAGTTTCCTGTTCGATACGAGCGACTCCATATCGCTATATCTTCCCGGTTTCCTCCCTCTCGTTCGAAGCGCCCATCTTCTTCTCTCTCTCACCATTGCCTCCGAGATCGAGACAGAACCTCGCCCAAGACTCCGAAAGACCGTTGCTACTACATGGGCTATAACATAGCTATTTGACTTTCGGCGAGATCCTCCGTGACTTCCAAGAGTAAGAAGAAGGGGGGAAAAAGTGATCGATTTGATCGATGTTCCGGAAGCCTGAGATGGTGTTGAGCGGGCTGATATTTGACAAGCGGAATTTATGAGGTAGAAGGTAGCCGTGGAACCTAATGACATGGGAATGTTGCAAGATCGTAGCGAAAAGCACCGCCAAGAACGAGTTCGCTAGCAGCGTTGGAAGCAAACATCTGGAGAACAAGGGGAAAAGAGAGAGGGAGAAGATACCAATTGCATGGTGCACATCGCAAAATTGCACTGGAAGCGTGGCGATTTCTCGTTGCTTATCGTCCCTAAATTTTGGGACGAAGCAGAGGGTACACATTCTCGCTCCGACTACTTCCACATATATCACATCACCAATTCCTACGAAACTTCTCGTATCAAAAGAGCAGCAGAGTATTTTATTTGCTATAAGAACTATCACTTACCTTACCTGCGAGAAATGGAAGCTCGACTAGCTTGGGACCTCATACCTACTTGTTCAGGAACACCTCGAGTTACTGTTCCCGCTACGAAGTCCCTTGCTTCTCAAGTCTCGCTCTCTCCTTCTCGTTTTTTCTCTGCCACTCTCTTTCTCTCGCCCTCTCCTCTTCCCTTTTCTTCATCTGCGCATATACAAATACACTCTCATCTACCTCCCCAGACTCCTCAAGCTGCTTCTCGACCTCTTCCTCTTCCGCCTTGGACGCCTCTGCAATGGCTTCCGTCTTCGTCTCAGGAGAGGCATTTGACTCCTCGCTGCCTGGTCTGTTGAGCTCCCATCCGTACACGGGATAGCCCTTTCGCAGCTTGTCGAATACCTTGCGCATCTCGTCGTCCCGGTGCTTTTTACACGCGGTCGACATGACCATTTGCTGCAGCCCGCAGCGGTACCACCCGTGAGACTCGCTGTACTCCCAACAGGGGCAGTAGCTCTGGTGCATCAGGTCGCCGTAGCATTCGGCGGTTCGTGCATGGTTGACGCCTTGGCTACAGTGGTGGCGGACTGTAGTTGAAGCACCAGTGCGGATGTTTATCACGGCTGTGGTCCAGTTTAGCGCGTAGATGTTGGGGCCGTGAACAAGACGGTTGAGGTCTTTCATGCTGTAGCTGTTTAGGAGCTCATTGGCCTCAAAGACGTGGTAAGTGTGCTTACCGGTTTGGTCCACCATTTGAGAAACAGCGTTCTCCAGCTTTGAGCTCTGTTGTCCCTCCATTGTGTATTTGTCTTGGTTTTATTAGGGATTTGGTTGAGTGGGAAGGATGCTGTACTGGTTCTAGGCTCTAAAATTGGAAAACGGTGTTTGGAAATGCGTGAGAATCTTGCTATGTTGAACTGATAGTAGACGATACTGAGAAGTGTGAGGCTTACTGTTCAAGTGGGATTTCATATAAATATTTGAGCTCCTTTCTTCACAATGTTGTCTGTGTGATAACTCGCAGGGCAATATCTCCAGCTTTTGCTCACTCCATTGGCTGAGAATGGCTCGGCTGCGGTGAAAGTCATGTTAGAAGTCTTCTTTTGGGCGAATCAGGTAGCTTTGGCCATTGGACTGTGTTTGGTTTATGTACAGTGTGATATAAACATGAGGCATAGTTGCATTACTAATATTAGGAACCTACGGACACGACTTGGTGTGCTCTATATAATCAATCATGCGCTTCATTGTAACGATGATGTGTCACTGTATTCTCATGCTTAGAGGTATACTTGATATTTTCAAATGATACTTATTACTGCGACTCCCATGAAAGCAGCGTGTCATGTCATGGTGCTTACATCGTATGAATCACGATCCTGACCAGAAACCCATGTCCAGTAAACAATCATTATGTATCGTAGCTCGCGTTTCTGTTTTCGTGATACAAGTCCAATCTCCTCAGAGTCTTACATGACAATAGCTTAAGCTGGAAAGCTAACAGCAAAGCAACACCATTACAATCCCATTAAGACGAAACGTTTGAAATCATCAAGAAAGGAATTACCACCAAATTCCAAAGCTAAAAATACCTACAACGCCAAAAAACTTCCCATACATACCAGACAATATAAGCCCTTTAGATCGCTTTTCTCTCGCATTCTCACCACCTTAGCCGCCGCCCCCCCCCAATAACCTTACCCATCTCCGAACCCTGAAAGCCAAACAACTAACCTCTCCAACCTCATCCCCTGCACATCCATCTTCCGCACCTCACCCAGCGCAACCATCCACTCCCGGCCATCCCTCCCCAACTGCACCGCAACCTTCCTCTCCCTCTCCTCCCTCTTCAACTCCCTACCCACATACATTTCCACCGCCCACGGCTTCGCATGATAGAAACTCGTATTCGCCTTTCTTGACCCCTCGACGGACGCCCACGCTCCAGGCGCGTAGGTTGGGTGTCGTCGGAAGTATGCGTATTTGTGGCGCTTGTGCTCGGCAGTGGTGTGGATGGAGTGCGGGGCGGTGGCGCAGGTGCGTGAGAGGGATTTGAAGGGTGAGGGGTTGGCGGTGGAGAGGTGCTCCGAAGAGATGGTTGCGAAGGGGGAGATGCGGACGTGTTTGCGGTAGGGGATGGGGTTGGAGGGTTTCGGGGCGATGAGGGTGCGGAGGGCTTGGAAGACGGATTTGGGGGGGGGGTGGTCGTGGTGGTTGTGAGGGAGGTTGATGAAGGTGTGGTTCCCGTCTCTTGTGTGTGCGAGGATTGCTGAGGAGATTGGATTAGGACTGGTGAGAAAGGAGTGAGGGTTTGCTGCCAGGTGTCGTGGAAATCGATTTGTGGTGGAGCTGTCGGTGAGCTTGCGATGGGGTGGGGGACGGACAATGACTTGGGTTCTACAAGTTGCCATCCGGGGAGGTCTTTGTCAGGCGGTCGAGCCGATACCGACCTGGCTTTTTCTCTTATAGCGCTCAGTATCATCTCCCTCTTCATTGTATTTCGTACCCAGTTCATGAATACTCTTGCACGTTCCCTATCCTCTTCTGTAGGTACAGGTGTATTCGGCCCTCTAACATATCTCAGACCTGGCACTCTACCCAGAAATATTTTTTGGTCATCCCATATTTCCAGTGCTTCGCTCAGCCTTGCCATGTCTTCAACTGGCAAGCCGGGCTTGTTGAGCAAGTTTTCAAACTTGATGATGGTATTTGCCAGCGCAATCTTCGTCTTTTTCCAGTACCTTGTAGCGATGACGTGCTTTTTAACGTCACCTGAACTGGACATGAAGACGCCTCCACGCGTCAGGAAGTGATTCTGGGCCGCTCGAACTGCAGCCATTTGAGAGGTGATTACACATATTGGACAGGCATTTTGGGATGATGGAAGCTTGACCACAAGGGAAGACGAGACAGTATGTGTGCAGTCACCGATCATAGCCGCGGAGTTGGTGATTTCGGTCATTTTGCGAGAAAGTGGAACAATGTTTGTGAATGGTGGATGAAGAAAAGGTATAGTGTTGGGAAGATCCCTGTGGCAATTCGAGAGCGAGCTGGTGTGTACTTATACTGTAGATTCTCTGGTTCATGCATTGAGAAAGTGCATATACGTGACGTATTCAAGATATGAAGCGGTACAACGTTTCTGAAGCTTCACGTGGACCAAACGTTGCTATTGAGGCGCTGGACAAAAAACATCGCATGGTAACCGCAGCACGTAAAGACCTCGTTGCAACCAGCCTTTGAAACATCCCGTGTCATATACACGCTGTGAAGACTGCAAAAGAGAGACGATTACAATAGCTTCTTGCGAATGAATCTGTCGAAAGATGTACTTGTAATACATGATGATATCTCGTGGCCGCACGAGACACCTACCATGCGCTCAAATTTTCGATGCACCAATAAAACTGCTGCCCGCCGTATGGCATCACAACATCTATTACAGCAGCCATTGCATCTCTTTTCCTGTTATCTGGTGGTTGGGGTGACTGAATGAAGGTATTTCACATGTTTCCAACCCGACGTATAGGATTTACTGTGGAGGTAAAATGGGTCAAGCTGCTCGCCTTCTTGATACGACAGTCCGGCGATGAGTTATTGTCTCCAAATACAATGACTGAAATTGGGTTTTCACGTCTTTTGGTTGGCTTACCCAGCAGGCTTACCTAGTCATTGGATTATCCAATTATCGATAGCAAACCCACCAACCAAAAGGAACAAAATTCACGCCAACTCGCATTAAAGTCTCATGAATATATGGGGCTGTTGAGTAATGAAAAGAATCCTGGCTATGGGTTATTGGCATCGGCCCTTGTTTCGCCACGTTGCATAGTACCATGTTGACACGGTTTGAAGGAAGCGGCTTTGTGTTGAGACGGCCGTGATAAAGTGAACACTATTATTCACCTCATGGCTGAACTCTGTGGATATGTAGGTGCGGAGAATCTGTAGTCTTAGAGCAAAGCTTAACATGGACAAGAAGCGGAAAAACGGGAAGGATGTCAACGCGTGTGCGTCATCCCGGAACGCGGAACCACGTGCAACATTGCCAAGTTCACAACGCCACCATCCCTATCTGCTTTGCCCAAACTCTTTATAGCCACTTGAGCTGCAAACCAACCCATCTCTATAGCTGTGTCAGCACGATGCCGCAAACACGCTCAGGAAGATCTAGAAACCAGAATGACAAAGTGCCACAACATGTCCAAAGCGACAGCGATGGCCCTGAACCTGACGACACACCAGCAGCACCTCCGTCATCATCATTTAAAGACCAGCTGAGCAGCTACGCGTATAAGGAACAAGATATGACATCGAACGAGGTCTCGGCATCGACCAATTCCGACCGACCGAGAAAGCGCCCTAGAACGGCCACCATAGCATCTGTCGGAAATGCCCAGGGATCTTCCCGACAGCCGACAAAGAAGCGCAAGGCGGGCCAATACGCCCTTCCATCAAAATACGCCCATTTGTCTCCACTGGTTGACATATTAGAATCAAATCTGGTATGCGTATTTGTTGGCACCAATCCCGGTGTTCAAACTGCGACTGCTGGGCATGCGTACGCGCACCCGTCAAACCACTTTTGGAAGCTACTCCACGCGTCAGGTCTGACAGATCGCCGCTTGAAGCCTGAAGAGGACCGCAGTCTTCCAGCCCTGTACTGCATGGGCAATACAAACATTGTAGACCGGCCATCCAAAAATGCGGCTGAGCTCTCGAAGGAAGAAATGTCTGCCGGTACTGCCAACCTAGATGCAAAATTCCTAAAATACAAGCCAGAAGCCGTTTGTATAGTTGGCAAGGGCATCTGGGAGGCAATATGGCGTTACCGCTATGGCAAGAACCCCGGCAAGAATGAGTTCAAATATGGCTGGCAAGACGAGAAACACAACATGGGCAAGGGTCCGGAGAACGGGGAACAAGAGTTGGATGCCAATGGCAATTCCTGGAAAGGGTCCAGGGTTTTTGTGACTACCAGCACGAGTGGCCTCGCTGCGAATCTGACACCTACCGAGAAGGAGATTATCTGGAGACCATTCGGAGAGTGGGTGCAGAAGAGAAGAGAAGAACGAGGCTTCGTGCCCCAGCTAGTGGAAGCCCAATCTGCTGTTGAAGAGCCAGCGCAACTTTAACCATCTTTGAACAAGGTCTTAGCTAGAAGGTGTCAGCCGAGACAGAACTCAATCAGCTGTCAAGATAATGCCGCCGAATGCATGTACCCGCGGGGGGTTTCAAAGTCATATGCTTCGCCGGAATCGCCCTTTCAGCCATGAGATGCAACTGCTATACGTTTTACGTCTTGGTGCATGACTTTCAAATCACCGACACTAATGGTCTGCGCCACACGTAAATGATTTGCATAGATTCGTGAACAGCTGCCCTCCATCAACATTCTCACTTGCGTCTCGTGGCTCTAACTTGAATCAACTTTTCCGGTTCTTGGCGAAATCTTGGCGGATGAAAGTTCACGGCTTGGCGTTGAACCTGACCGAGCCAGTTGCATTAACGCCGCAATTGCACCGCCATAGTATTGGGTCCCAACCATGCTGCGCCTCCTGGGTGTGGCTCAACAACGTGACGAAGAGAAGCACATACCTACAGGCAAAAATACATGATAAAAGTGCTTCTTCTGTCAACGACCCTTTCGTGGCTGGAGATGCCAAGTGAACAGGACTTAGGATGACTGAGCCACGGCACAGCAATTAGCCTCGTGTAATATCGCTAGCTGCAGATGTAGCGCCACAGCTAAACTGAAGTGGGCACTAGCCTACGGAACAAACGGCAAGCATGCATATGTGAACGACACTTCATGCAACACAGGTTTCCGAGCAAGCAATCTTACTGTCAAGCTACCCACAAAACGACTATGTGCTGGTTGAATGGACCGTTGAGCGAGAAAAAGAAATTGACCAATGTTGTACTCTAACAAAGTAAGATGGGAAATTTGACTAGCAACGCAGTGTCCGAAGATGCAACACCGGCTCCGCTCACCATCTGTGTTCTATACTACGGCGTAAGCACATACGCGAGTTCGTGCGCCTCCTCCCAAGACAATTGCATACGCGTAAAGACAAGGATTCTGCATCTACCGTTCCACTCCAATGTCTCATGGGGCCTGAGCAGCTGCCACACGCAGGCGCCCAAAGAGCAACACGTATGTGGCGCCGAGCAAACCACTCATCCGCCTTATTTTAGGCTCTGCAAATGCCTCTGGTTAAGCTGTGCACTGTGCTACTAGTGGGTATGTGCACGCGCGCGCGCGCAAAAAAGAGCGACAGTCCTATTGCCCTTTTCGCGCCGCATCCGTCCTATCCGTTTACCGAGTATGTTGCGAAGGGCGGCAGTGCCGAAACAGCCAGTTAGAGTGGCTGGTGTGCAAGATGTCAAGAAGGAATACGGGGGGCCGCTTATCCTTGCCCCCTTACTTATACTACTTATCTAAAGCGCTTGTTGTGCTGTGCCACAAATAACTTTGGAGACCCTCTCTTCTTTCCTCTGCCACAATCCTCAACGCCTCACGGTTTTGTTGCACTCGCCTCTTTTCTTTCGAGCCACAACACACACACCAGCCACAAAACCAAGCCTCTCGCGACTTTCTTAATTCAACGTCACCACATACCGCGTTCATCGCAACATTTAAATCGCTCCGCGACAACAAATCAAAATGAGTTATCCCCAGCAACAACAGATGAACTATGGACCTCCTCAGCCTGGATACGGACCTCCTCCCCAGCAACCCGTACGTTTCCCACTCTTTTTCTCCCCGAAAATAGATTCATAACGTGATTTTCGCGCTCTGCGTAAATCGTAAAAAGCGCTACAGAATAGCATGCTAATTGTTTTCATGTATAGATGTACTACCAACAAGCACCTCCACCACCTCCACCAGCGGAAAAGAAGGACAGGGGTTGTCTGACTGCTTGGTAAGTTTCTTTTTACCTCTTTCCTTCCCTTAGACACCCCGAAACAAAATCGAATGAAAACAAAAAAACTAACGTATAATAGTCTGGCCACACTCTGCTGCTGCTGGCTCTGCGGTGAAACCTGCGAATGCTGTCTCGACTGCCTCGATTGCTGCGACTGCTGCTAGTCCCCCCCCCCCCTTGTCGAATTAATCCATGGCGCCCTGTCCGCGCGAGGTTGTCAATGCGATTCTCCTCTTGATTTTTCCAAATCGATGCGCATGCGATATGATGGGATTTGGTATATGCTGGGATGAAAGGGAAAGCAGATGGGAAGGGTGCGCACTGAAGGAGGGGCACGTGTACGCGCGACATGGGATGTGTATGAGATATGAAGGGGGAAGAGATGGGGGAGGAATAGGTGGATTGGAGTTTTTGTCTCTTCTTAGCATACAGTGTGTGTGTGCTATGGTTGCTGCGCTTTCTTTCATTGCGCGTTGTTGTTGTTTACCCACGCAAATAGATTGGCAATGACTTTGGATAATGGATTTGATCTACTTCCAAGTTTTTTTTATGAATTCACTTAGTGAATGACAGGACAAAGCAGTTCCATTTGATCGATATACAAACTCGCTCCATGTTAGACGCAAGTCTTACAGTCAATGAGAAAGGAGATTCAATTAAAAGAAGAGGAAAGGAAAACTACAGCGCTTAGTCCTCGTAGGCTTCCTCAAGCTCCTCTTGGTACGCTTCTTGAGCCTCGATGAGCTCCTGGCGCTTCTCCTCCAGAGACTCACGGTCACTACTTGAGATGGAGGAGCCATCTGCGTCGTGAGTAGGAACTGGTGGGGGCTCTTGGAAGGCTGCAGCGTTTTCATAGGGATCTGATGGAGGGGGTGCACCATATGGAGCGCCGCCGTAAGGCGCCGCGGCTGGGGCAGCGGCTGCAGCAGCCTTGGCTTCGTCGTCGCTATCATCAGCTGGTGGGTGTTAGTTGTGCGACAAAGATTTGAAAAAGAGGGAGGGAAGAGAAACATACCAAGTTGGTGGCCAATAA